AGCCAGGCCCTCCCACCAGACACACCTGCCTCCAGCACAGCTCCCTTCAGCCCCGTTATCAGGCAGCGGCTCCAGGGACGGGGCGGGCTACATCGCCCGACCTAAGGGACAGACACCGACAGGGAATGAGCCTTGCGGGGCCGGTCCCCCCGCTCCCTGCAGCACCGTGACCCGTTCACCAGCCGCCCGCACAGCCTAGCCTCGCCCGGGCCAACACGCTCCCTCTGGCGGCTGGTTCCCCGGAGCGCTGCCCCTCCCGGCGGCGCCCCCCGCCCGCCAGGCTGCTCCTGGCCCCCGGCTCCGGTGGCGCGAACACCGGCCCTCCGCTGCCCCGCCCCGCGGCTCTGCCCGCGGCGCTTCTCGCACGGACCCGGCCGCCTCCCGGGCGTGTCCTGCCCCGGCCCCTCCCCCTCATGCTGCGCCAGGAAGGGCGGGATCTTCATCCGCACACACTCACCCTTCGCCCTAGTGCGCATGCGCTGAACTGCAGGCGCACATGCGCATTGTCCGTACCGAAGCCAATTGCGCGGCTGCCGATGCCCGGAGTCCAAGCAGCGCTGGGGCTGTGCGCGGGGATAGCGCCCCCGGCCGGGCGGGCGGAGAGACAGTGGCCGCGGATGGGGCGGGGTTAATAGACGGGGATGGAGCCCGGAGGCAGGTGGAGGTAAGCACAGAGAGGCGGTGCCCCTGTCGCTGCTGGATAGAGAGATTTGGTGTCTGTTTTTTCCCTTGTTATTTAGTTTTAGCCTTCCCAGTGCTCGCACAGCCGTAGGCATCACTTCCACCCGGGGTCCTCACCCTCTGTCAGGCTCTGCTCTTTCCCCATCACTGTCTGCGTGACTGCAGCAGCTGGCTGGCTCAAAGAGCTTCCTGCCATTTAGTGCTTCACAGACAAGCCCCCTGCCTGGGAAAACGTTCTTTGTTTTAGATCCTTGAGCAGCGTTCCGCTTAGTTTTACACCAAAGGGCACCTTGACTCCAAACTTTCTTTTCCTGCTCTACCACCAGTCACAATCTGCTGTCCTGGGCAGCAGCCACGCACTCTCCCCCCCCCACCCTCAGATTGAAAAAAAATGTAGTCAGGGCTATATAGTATTTGCCCAGTATGAATGTTACTTCAAATTTTGGTGGTGTAGTCTCCCCCTCCTTAACCCCTGGGGAGCAGAGGAAAGGTCACTGACCCCTGCTTTGTCCCTCTTCCCTTTGGTGATGCCTGCCCTCCCTAGTTAGGATATGTGCTTAACCACATACTTAAATCCCACTGAAGTCAACAAGACTCTCACCCATGCATAGTCAAGCATGTACTAAATTACTTTCTTGAATCAAGGCCTCAATACACTGATGAAACTATATTCTAGTGCCTTTCTTAATGCATGTTAATGAGAGGTTAGGGTATATAAACATTAATTGCTAGACAGACCTTTGGTCTCACCCAGTATGGCCAGTCTTAATTGTGAGGATTACTATAACAGACAGCTAGGACAGGACAGGTTTCTGTCCATTTGTAAATTTCACCACAAAGGTTGCCACACTACAGAGCTAGAAATTAATATTTGGAAGTAGTTACAGGTTTCCCTGAAGAATCATGTGTGTCCTTCCATCAGCATGATAAATACACAAATGGTGATTTCTCTTCTCCTAACAGAAACAGGTGGCCTTTCCATCACTGCTTTGAATGACCACTTGTAGGGAAACTTACCAAAAACTCACATTTCTTTGTTTATCCAGATTTAATAATTCCACTTCAACCAAAGCCATAGCATTTCTGCCCATTTCCACTTTATGAAAACTGGTCTCTTTGAAGGGCTTATATATTTTCATCCATGGCACATTAATGCAGTTGCTGTCCATTTAGATCAAGAGCAGCAGTCCTGAGCTTTCACATAGAGATGAATTTCTTGCTTCAACCTCACTACCACCACTTCTCTCCCTCCCCTCAGCATGCTGCAGGATATTTATTGACAGAATGAGTGAGTGTTTTAGACAGTAATGCTATCGAGTCAAAACAACTCAGGTTGTAAGATTTTGGTTAGGAAAAAATCACATGCTAATGTCTGTATTCAGCTCTAGTGCCTACTTTCTCGTCAGAAGATAACTCTAGTAACTGGAAGAAATAGGTCAAACTGATTTTCCCCATCCCCGTTTCCTCCAGTCTAGATACTGTGATCAAAGTTGATACAAACACTTTCCTTCAATCAGCCTTGTGCTAAAGACTGGATCAGAAATCAATTCAAGGATTTAGATCTGACTGCATATAGCCTCCCCCTTCCAGGGCCATTAACTGTTGCAGGGAAATATTTTCTGGTGACCGTAAACATTTGTATTTCCATTCTGTAAAAATGCAAACAGAATGCTGAGAACTCCCCCTGGCAACCAGACTTTCAAAAAGTTAGGAGGCATTATTTCATGTGACCCCTCTGCAAAGCTAAGGGAACCAAGTGGATATACACAAATGCCTCACTGTAGCAACACAGACAAACAACTTGTATATAAAGAATGGTCTTAAATTAAAAAAAATACCATCCCTGGATACTGCAGCTAGGTCTAAGATTCATGCTTCAGCCTAGGCTAGGGGCAGAGCAAGTATTGCAAAGGATGACAGGTATATCAGCTGGAGCAAGAGGACAGTAGAAAATAATTTTCCATGTCTGGCTCCATCTACATCCACAACCATTCATGGCAAGTAGAACAACGAACCTACTAGTCGTGAGCTTGAGTCAACTCTCAAACAATGAATTTAAGGAGTATGAGAATACCAGTGTGTGTGATATAAGCTTATAAGGAAGTTTAGGGCTAAAGTGTTCATCTTAAGTAAGTGTTTTGTAACCAGATGTGCAACAGACTAAATGAAGGAGGGCATGGGAAGAAAAGAGGAGTACTGGGGGTGTTTTCACTTCATCACTCGGATCGATCCCACTGCTAGAAGAGCTCCTATAACCATGGGTAATGCAGCAGGCAACTTCTTGAAGGCCACCTTATCATCCTGCTCCCACAATTCCCATTATATAGCCAGCTACAGGAGCAGTTGGCATGTCCAATGTTGGAAGCAGAGGAAACAACAGGAAGGTCAGGTGAGGCTTAAAGAGACTTTTACCAATTACAAGCTCTCTCATTCAAGTCCCTACTTACTATTAAGTTATATAAAAGGTCTTACATAATGGTACCAGTGGTTAGCTGAGTGATTGAGGAGACACTATCAACTTGAAATTACAAAACCTTGTATGTAATCGTTCTTACCATAGTTACAAGTAACCCCCAAAATTACTTTGACTGAAAAGAGATGGTTCACACTTTTTTAGTTTATTTACTTGTGCATTTGACAACACTTAGTGAACCTGACCCTATGCAGTTTTTGTGAACAACATTCTCAGAGCATTGAAAAAATGGGTGTTTAGCAGTAATAGCGAAGCAGAGCCAAAATGAAGAGTGAACAGTCAGCAAACAGGTGTATGCATATACAATGAAAGAGCATGCAGAAGGAGAGGTGTTCCTCTTAGGCCAACCCAAAAGACCCTTCTCAAAAACAAAGGTGGGGGAAAAAGCCAGAAGCCATCACATTTTAAAAAAAGAATGGTTTTAAAAATTTAAAGGCATGCTATTTTAAGGGTTCAGTAGCGCAAAACTGAGGATTTTTAATTAGCCTGTTCAAAAAAGAAAAATTAAATTGCCAGGATCCCTTAAAAAAATGCCCCAGAATTTGTGATAAGGATTGATGCTACTTACCATATTGGATCTTCTAGAGTCAGAGCTAGAATCAGGAACCTTTAATCCAAGTACTATACAGTGTAAAAAAACAGCACTATTTTCCTTATTTTTTTTAATTAGCATTTTTGTGATTTTAAATTCTAAAACATTTGTTACTGTAACACAGTAGCTGGGCAGGGTAAAGGCTCTCCACCTAGACACAACTGGCATAGATCCATAGAGACAACCCACGGTACCCATATGCACCATCACAGCGAGCCATACAACCCTCTCTCTATCCACCAATATACATACATGTGACATGGGTTATGTAAGCACATGAAGGATCAGTATATCCATAAGCAAGTGTGTGCGCAAAGGGTGCAACTGTTAATTAAGTTTCCAGTTTATTAAAGTCCTGGATAGTATTATTTTGCAACTGACATGATCCTTCTCTTTCAAATAAAGGTACTTCACTAAAAACTATGAAAGAATTCACAGAGGTGCGGATGGGCTATATCTAACTAAGAGGACTGTGCAGTCCTGGCAACGGCCTGCAATGACAGATCTCCAAATCTGGTGCTGGAGAGCAGTTACTTTCTAGACAGCAGTACCCATCAGTTCAGGGTCAGGACTGCACCAAAGCTCTATTTAATACACCAATCTTTGGGGAAAACTCAATCTGACACACCCCAAAAGAAATCCAGCTACAATGTCCAGCACCTCCAAGGGGCTTCACTCTCTACATTTGTCCTACAAATTCTCTAACCTCATTCTTCAATGGCACGGGGGCTTTTTCCTCTTCACTTATGTCTTTACTTGTAGAGATCATGGAGTTCTTCCTGCTGCCTTATTAGAGTCATATTGGCAATATTTGGGGAAGGTAGCTGTGGACTGACCTATGTGCATAGAGTATGGAGGTTTCTTAAGAAGCGTGGACAGGTTTCACTCAGGTAAGAAGGGAAACAAAGCAACCACTAGAGCAGGTGAGGTACTACAGACTCTAAGACATCTTCACTTGGTGAGTGCGCTCATGTCTCCTCAAGGAGCCTGACTCTGTGAAGTCTTGAGCACAGTAAGCGCAAGAGTAGGGTTTTTCTCCAGTATGGATCCGCTGATGACGCTGTAGTGATGCCAGCCGCGTGAAGGTTCCACCACACTCCTCACAGTAGAAAGGGCGCTCTCCAGAGTGAGTTTGCTGATGCCTTTTCAACCTGAGCAGCTGGATAAAGGACTTTCCACATTCTTGACACTGATATGGTTTGTCCTGTCGGTGGATCACCTTGTGTTTCGACAGCAAATTAGGTTTATGGAAACCTTTGCCACATGTTGGACAGATGTAAGGTTTAGACTGTTCTCCTCCAGGCTTTTGGTCATCTGAACACTGCTGATAGGTATCTCCGCCACCATTTTGGTTCTGGTGCACTGAAGACCATGGGTTCCTAACCATACCATTTCCTAAAATTTTTGAACGTTCAATCTTGTGGACGTTGCGTAGGTGCCTCCAGACGTCAGCCGTGCGGATGAACCCCTTGTCACACTCCGGACACTTGTGTGGCCTGTCACTAGAATGAATGAGCTT